TCACTGGGGGGTCTTCCTCTTTTTCTCTGACCCTCCACCTTACCAAACATGATATCCTTCTGCAGTGAATGGCCCCTTCTGACAATATGTCCGAAGTATGAGAGACGAAGTTTGGCCATCCATCTTGGCCTCCAAGGAGCACTCTGGCTGCACTTCTTCCAATATGATCTTTTGGCAGTCCATGGCACTTTCAATATTTTCCTCTAACACCACAACTCAAAAGCATCAATTCTTCTATGGTCTTCCTTATTCACTGTCCAGCTTTCACATGCATATGAGATTATTGAAAATACCATGGCTTGGGTGCACCCCAGTCCTCAAGCTGACATTTTTGCTCTTCAACACTTTAATATATACAAGTGAGTAAGTACTATTGAAAGATGATATATGGAGATTGTAATCATTGCAATGAAATGATATATAAAACTGATGTTCTCCTATGTAAACTATCACTCAATTCACAATAAAAACATATATATACAAAAAGGTATTTGCAATGAAGAACTCATTGGTCTTACAAAATTCTACCATGCGATCTCTAGCATAGCTTCTATCACCAGGGTCATATTTTCCAGCGAGTGTTCCTTCCTGTTTCCAACCTTTGCATTTCAATGGCTAGTAATTAGCATTACATCTTAATTGCATGTTTGATAAATTTCACACTAAAGAATTGGTTTTAGTGGGATGGTGCATAAATTTGAATAGTAGTATTAACTAGTTTTCCTTGTAGGTATATGGATATTATCCTATCACAGACAGCATTGTACTTCAAAAGATAGATCTTGAAATGTTTTTTTGATGATGTGACATCATTCCTCAGAACTTATCATTCCCAGCATAGTAAATCATGTGGTTGCCAATTCAAAATGGCCAGCACTAGTTCATTTCAGCTCACTAATAATGAATCAATCAATTTTTATACATTCTATTTTTGACAATTCCCAATTTTCCTAGATTGAGATTTTGTACATTCTCTGTCCAATTATTTATTTTTATTATTTTAAAAATGATTTATTGTGAATTATGTGATAGTTTACATGGGAGAACATTAATTTTACATTCATTCTATCGTGTATCGTCTCATTGCCATGGTTACAATCCCCTCCATGCACCATCAACCAACCAAAGGGAACACACCCTGCAATCCTGCCCC